TTTTTTACTAAATCTATAAAAACTGCGGATTTTGATTTGCGTGGCTGCTTGACTTGCCGATCAATAGAACATTTTGCTAATTGTTAATTGTGCCATCAAAAGTGCAAAACATTTCGAAAAGCCATCTAGACAGTTGATTGCAGCTCTTTCGTATAATTTCCCAGCGAATAATTTTCAGCAATAAATGTTTTGGTCTCATCCGAAGGACGATCCCTTTGGCCATTTTTTGGAGGCACTTCTAGACAGTTCTTCCACTTTTAAATAGTATGATAGTGACTGATTTTAACCTAAACAGGAGTAATAACGTTATAGATCTGCTTTCGAGGAGAAAACGGTCACAAGTCGCTGTTGTTTGACCGGAAACGGTGATAAGAGGAAGATTCGGCGGGTTCGAACAAGTAGGAATGAATCCTGACCAGAGTTGTTATTTATTTCAATATACATTTATGATAGAGCGCTTGATCATTCGCTAGTTACATATTTTCACCTCCGCAGCAGTCTCTCAAATATTTACATGGGGACTGAACATGAGTGCGTTTACTCAACAGAATTCATATTTCAGCCCAATCTTTCTTTGTGTCTTTGTTCACGTGTTCTGTTTCGACTCGACCAAGTTCGGAAAACCCCTGCTAAAAGTTCATTCCCGGGCGTGCTGCGGGTATGTAAATATGTAGGATCAGAATTCAAGAACGGGCCTACATACACTTTTTGATCTTTTTTTGGCCGCTGTTTCCTTCTATCGTTACTGTTCTTCAACCATTTATTGAATGTTCAAAAATTGAAGACCACTTGCCACTTGAACAGGGAGCAATTTAACCGGAGAGCCGATGACATACATTTAGATTGGTCCTACTTCTTTCCTCGTTGCAAACCGGATGCTCGCCTTAAAAGCTTTCTGTTAAATTATGACCATGCAATGTCCTCAAAAGGACCACTTTACTCTTTCCGAGTCGAGTTTCTTGGAAAAAAAGCTATGGAAATAATTATCGCATTGGACATGAACTTCAGCTGCTTCACATAATAGCTCGAAACTTGATGCTTACAGCCTTATATGTAGGTTGATGGCTGTGCACTTATAAATTGATATGTGACATTTACTCAGTTGAAGTTGATTGGCAGACATGCAATATTTGATTATTTGCGAAAACGCACTTTGTTGTTCCTTGTCTAGAATAGCATGTCTAAAGCAAAGCTATAAAGTTCCTTACCAGCCAAGTGTTCGAAATAACAAGTAGCATAGCTTTTTCCTTAGTGTTTTGTCAAAAAATTTCTGAGAATAAATTCTTTTACTTATTAGTTTCCGCGCGACTACCAGACCAGTGTTCAACTCTTACATTTTTTTCATGCAATACGCTATAACAATAAAATTCTTGCCTACGTCTTTTCTTGGGGAAAATTATGTGCATTTGTGGGGATGATTACGAAGATTGTGGGTCACAACTATTGATGAAATGTATTCTAGTTCTTTTCTGCTTAATTTTTTTTATCGAAACGTCCATATTTTTCCAGGGTTCAAAACAAGTAAAAGCACGAACTTGGTGCCAAGTGGCTTATGAAGACGGTTGTTACACTTTTTTACCAATTTCCTATTTTTTTGGGGAAGCTGAGATATTCACACTGAAAGGGAGAAGAGTAAGAAAGGTTGCATTAAAAGGTTGAAGAAGAATCTTCTCTGTTGTTGTTCTTCTTCAGTGACCAGAAAGTTCCATGACGTTCATATTGAGTTCTACATAAAGTTCGTTACAGCACACAGAATGTAAGTCTATCAAAAAGTGCCAAGAGATAGACTAAAGCCAAAGCTAGATAGACATTTGATATGATATGTGATTACACCGATTGTACCAAAAAAGTGCTTTTCTCACGATTTGCTATCATATGAGCAAGCTTTGGCTTATTTCCTTGAGTACGTAATTGCACAAAAATGCTAGATTGCTATGGCTTTCATAGGGAAATGTCGTCAGAATGTTTTGCTTGTATATGATTCTGAGGCAATTGATTAAATTTCATGCGGCAATTTTTGAGATTGAAAACGAAGAAAACTACACGATTTGCTAAGGCTTGCTTCCTTGGTTTATGAAAGTTTTCGAATCTCCAAAGCATATCATTGAGAACAAAAATTATTGTTTTACACTCCAAATTCTCAAAAACAGCTCATTATGAACTGTTTTTGAGGGCTTTATAGCACTTATAACCATAATATAAATTCGCTATAGTTCTCTTTCTGTTCATGTGCCTTTTCCCTTTTTTGCACATGACAAATGATGGAGGGCGTGGCGCGCAGAGTAAAAACCAAAGGATCGCCGTTAGTACGTAATACTTATATGTGTGTACTTTAGACACTCGTGGTCGAGTACATAATCCTTTCGTATGCACATGTCTTAGCACTCTACCCTCCTTAAACCCTCTAAGGGCTCACATGCGTAATTTTGGTTTCTTAGTAAATAAGATAATGCAGTCCGAAGGTGGCGCTAGTCCTTTAGAACTGCTTGAATTTGTCGTAACAAGCATTAATTTCGCAAATGTGTTAATTACATATGGGATCGCATATGGGAAATGTTCGTACGAACTTCTCTCTTTCTCCATGAATTTTAGGTGCTTTTCTAGTGCGACTCGCAATAGAAATTCATCCAAACAACTTTATTTTATTCGCTGGATCTTTGAATAAATATAGAAATCAAGATAAAATGAAAAACCAGCTCAGAAATCTCTTCTTTGTGTAGCATCGTTCCTTTCTATCCCGTGTGTATATGCTGGCACGAATTCGCTTTCAAAGTAAAGCTATTTTACGAAAATTCAAATTCCTTCTCAAATATTTCGTTTTTTTAGAGCTTCACATTGTCAGAACTGAATGCTCCAGTTATCAAAAACTGAACATGTTTGAGAATTTTATAGCTTCGCAAAATTTTGTTTTCCAGAAGTCCACGTCCTAACTGGGATGCATAATATTTTTTGGAATTGAGCAGTTATTGGACTATCCTGGCCTTGTCTCTATTCATTTTTAGGCGGTTTCAAAAACAATCCTCCTCCACTTGACAACCACCTCAAGACTTTTTCGAACTGAATTTAGCACTTCTTACGAGCACATTTACCTCCTTACGTGTCATTCCTCTACCTCCGGAGTTCCTTTAGGGAATACCTGATGCATATTTGCCAACAAAAAGCTTAGATGCACGTGTCTGGTTGAGCGTTTGTTGAGCTCTGTGTACTTTTTTACTCAGGGATCCTATTCCCACGTTCGTCGTGGAAGTGCGCACTTCTTTTTTGGTAGAACCCGACACCTGTTAAAAGCTTTGATGGCTATAAAGCCCTACAATATTGCTAGGCGCTCTAATGCTTGTACTAGGGGGACGTTTGAGGTTTTTCAGCTAGAATGTTTCCCATGCTTTTACATTAATACTTCCATCTTTCTCCAGTTCTTGGTCCTTTTCTCACTCGTTCCAATTTTCCTCACCGATTTGTCGAAACTGCAAGATTACTGCTTATTCTTTACATCGTTTCAGTATTTTCACTCTGTGATTCTTCTTTGAAGCCTCAAAGCATTGTCCGGTGGTTTCTGTCATTTTAATTACGAATGATCATCAGTCATCCTTTCCAAACTGTCACTTTTTGCAGACTATCGGTATGATAAGTGAATTTATAGCGTTCCTATGGAAGGCGAGACTTGCACTCGTCAAATAAACGGCCAGTACTTTGATGCTTCGCCAAAACAAATATGATGTATCATTTTGTTGTGGAGTGTTGTCTTTGTACGTAACAAATGTTCTTTGCTTTAACTTGAGAATAAATAAACCCTCCAAATGGAAAATCCAACCTTTTGCATATATTAGGTCGTTCCGAAAGTAATGTCGCTTTTTTCATATGAACGCCACATTTCATGGAATCAAGATTTCCAAGAGACCTTAGGAGCTTTCTATGCAGCATTTAATCCTCTTTCTAATGGTTGTAATTTCATTGCATAATTTTCATTGAGCTTTCGAAAAATTAACAAGATTTGCAACTCATGCTTTTTGTCATGGTCAAGTTCGGCAATTTTTTAAAATTTTTGTACCTATTCTCCGAAGAAGTACAAGTGACAGGTAGATAGAGCAAACCCTATAGGACACAGAGTAATTTTTTTCTTCTCCTTAGCTTGCTTCTTAGAGTTTCTGGAATCAGTTTTAAAATGCCATCAAATCCCATATTTGGTCAACTCAAACCTCACAGAACAACAACCGGCAAGCAACTCGGGTGTCATTCGACGCAGCTTTTTTTCCTCTTTTTAGAAGTTGTTTTTGGTTTCCATTCATCAAGTTTTCCGAGATAAAATCATCATAATTCAGGTTTTCCAGGGCGCCTCCGGCAGTACCCGGAATTTTCGAAAGCTGCTAATCTGAAGCGGTAAACACTCATTTGCTTTGTAAAATTAGTGTAAAACCATAATCCATTTTTGTAAGTTTCAAAATCCGACGATTTCTTGGTGTTTGATGCATTTGTGTCTGAGACGAGCCTGCTAAAATTCGGTGGTTCCATCAAAAAATCTATACAGAAATTATGACGAGCTCTGAAAAGTAGAAAAAAGTTGTGCTGTTTCCCGTAGAGTTTGCTCTATCCATACATAACCTGGACTGCTTCCGGGGGTTGTTATAAAAATTTTGAAAAATTGTGAAACTTGACCTTCTGAAAAAGCATGGGTCGCAGATTCGGATAATTTTCCCAGAGGTTATTCAATTTTGTGCGGTAGTTATATAACCTTTAGAAAGAGAATGAAATGCTGCATCAAATGCTGCTAGAATCTCTTACAAATCTTTGTTCCATGAAATGTGGCGTACGTTTGAAAAAAGCGACATTACTTTCGGAACGACCTAATATTTTGAATCGATGATGAAATTCCTCTCTATCATAAAGAAGATTTCATCCTCACAAAAATCTCCAACTTCCCAAATTTTTCCGTGCTCATGTCATTGCTCGCGTATAGGCTGTAGGTGGGATAGTTCTGTTACTTCAAGAGTCCGTAATTACAGATGACAACTGCGAACCCACAACAGCGACAACTTACTCTGTTTCACAAGTTCAGCACCGAAGTTCGGCCATCTGAGATGGTCCAACGAGATGATCGAATTCGTTCGATGACATGCGCATTTGAGGAAATTGCCGAGCCAGAGGAGGAGGAGGATATTCAGGTGAGAAGAGAGGTCCGTTAATGTGAGATTTCGTCTAGATTTGTTGAATTAGTGCAAAAGGAGTAGGGCGTGAACAAAACTCATTATACGAAATTGATCGAGTTTGCCTATAACTCCAAGTCACTTTGAATAGAATACGTGAATTTGAATTTATCGCAAAGTCAATTACGGACACTATTTCTGCCCTTGTATATGAAAGGCTAGCAAAGGATTATCAATTTTGTGCGTTTATGGAGAACTGACGAGAAGGAACTTACGGTCCTTTCTGGACCGCGAGATTTATATTTTTAGTCTCAACACGAGCTTCGATATTGTAATTATTTCGAGCAGAATATACTCGAGCAGGTGGATGTCTAAAATATCACAATGCTCATTTCTGTTGAATTAAATTATTTCAGTGTGATGAGTCAGCGCGCTGAAATTAACGCAGAATCCTCATTAAAAATGAAATGGAAACTAATAAGACAGCCTGTCTTTTACTACCAATATCATCATTTTTTGGCTATAATATAGGCAACCTGTTTTTTTTCTTCGTTATAACCATGTCAACTGAAATATCGCGTCATGTTTTGGAGCGTAATGGAGATCTTGATTTTTCTCGTGTGGAGACATCTTATAAAAAATAAGCGTGGATTAAAAAATTGCCATGGATTGCAAGTATTTGGTTTTATGAATATGGTATAAATTCTGGGCTTATGCTTAGTTAGAATATTAGGATTATTCGTCGGACTTCAAGGATGTGAGCGAAAACAATGAGCATCTACTGATTGAATTTTAGCTTTTGTACAAAAATATTTTACTACATAGGCGCTCATAACGGCTTCTCGGAAACGAAAAAGTATCCGGGAGGGAAGGGGAGGGGAGGCAGGAAGGAGCTGGTGTTGCAAGATCATAAAAAGCTTTTTCAGTCAAAATGTTACTCTTATAATGATATGCTTTTCAGCTCCCAGAGCGAACTTCACCCGATGGGCGATCACCATTTGCTATCGCTTTTGAGTCGCCTTTTGCCGAACGGCGCCGAACCTCTCCTCGGAACCTTAGCCCAAATTTCGCAAGGTGCGCAAATTCACAGTCGATTACTTACTTATGTTACAGTATCTCCTTCAGGAATTTCGCATCACCACAACTATGTCGTGGTTTGTCGGATCCTTGCCTACGTCTTCGACAAACGCCAGCCATGTTCGGATCTCTGAGTCCCTATAGACATGATTCTGGATCTGATCTGCTCAGTAAGTTCTTTCTACCGAAGTTTAAAAAAACGAAAATTTTTAATGAGCGCTTGAGCTAAAAGCATCCAAAAGTGAAATAACATTCTGTTTTCTCCATTCGTGTATTTCAGCCCTTCCACCGATTCCTGAGACAGCCTCATCGTAATCTCATAAATATCACTGCGACGAGATCCTTTAGCATCGGAGCCTGTCTTGTTCGCGCAACATGTATTTACGTTGGTTACCGCATTGTCCAAAGAGAATCTGTCTCTATGTAAAAATCTTTGACCTGCATCTGTACATAACAAGTGTTTGGACCTTTTGATCTTCTCAAAAAAATTTTCTAGTTCTATGATCTCATTCTAGTCTTCCTTGCTAGAACAAAAATTTTGCATTTTTTGTTGTAAGTTTTATAAAGTACTTCTTTAGCAGACAGACTTTAGCAGACTTCATGTTTTTACGTTACGCGTGTTTATATATTTCTGTGAATGTACTAATTCTTCAGGTTTACACCTACAGCCTTGAATAAGCCTTCTAAGCGGGTTTAAAGTGAAAAAATTGGTTGTTATTATATTTCTAATAAAGTGTTTATAACAATGGTGTTTTGATAATATCGTAAGCCTCATCTGAATCGGTATTCGAACTCTCGCACAAAACTTCTCGAAAAGCCAGTGGCGTGGCTCACCGACTGATATCGTGATTTAAGCTCCTGAAAATGCTCCCTGTCAAATGCTAACTCGGTATTGTGCATGCATACGGAAAATCTCATACAAATGGCAAAAAATAATTAGCGATTTGATACACTTCGCGCTGGCTGGCAGCTCTTGACTAAACTGCATGTGAAGCACTGAAAACAATTGAAACATTCGCTCTCTCTCAAGCAGCGCATATGATTTTCTTTCGCATTCGTATGAGCGAAATGCCATCTTTGATGTGTGATCTGATGGTTCATTGAGCTACGATACAAGCTAGTTTCTGTTCAAAGTATCCTTTGCAAGAATGGGAATCTATTGGAGCTATTCGTGTGGTTTCCGCGTCGTTAGTCTGTCCGCGGTTCCTCTGCAATGAATAGAACTGTTATTGAACTATTACGGTTTGATCGGGACTGCATGAATTTGCATCTCATGGTTTTGTTGCCATTGAGTAAACAAATTTCTTTTGTAGCATGAACAATAGAGTAATTACCAGTTTAAGGTCTTTTAGTCACTAATTGTTATCTACAGTGTAAAGCGTGGGGTGTAGCACGTCACACTTGGGGATCTTAGAGGGGTCGGAAAGAGGAAAGGGGGGGGGGGGGAATCGTTATCGCGGTCATAATGATGTTAGCGACATGATGTCAGGCAACAGCGTCTGACAGGCCCATTGTGCAGAATATTAGCACTGATGCTTTGGCCTAAAGTCGTACACGCACAGTAAGCATATTAAAAGAACCCTGAAAGCATGAAAGCACCATTTCCGTAATCAGCATGTCAAATAACCCCCAAAGGCCAAATTGCGGCAAATTTTGAATTTCCAAATATTGGGTCACTCAAGTGAGGTCATTTTCGACATGCTAACTTCGTTTCAAAAGTGAGTAAACTACCTCTTTTTGCACTCATCACAATTTACTTACTTTTTGCTCGTATTAGGAATCCCATTTCAACTAACAATTCTGGAATTAAGAGCAAGCCAAAATCTTGCTTCTCCCATTTTTCGCTTCCAATTTCTCAGACTACAGAAGACCAATCAGGCTCAAATCACTTCTGTGAAAGTTAAGAGGATCAGGGTACTTGTTCTTGCCGCCTTCCCTCGCAATTTACGTACTAGTGCAAACTTAGTATATCACCGTAATCCAATAATTTCGCAGTGTTTTCCATTTGCTTAGCTAAAGAAAAACGACTATGTCTTTCCCTAGGAAAAATAACTTCGCATGAAATTCCTGCTATGTGGAGAAGAAGATTTAGCAGTAGCAACAATATAAAAAAGATAGAGATTTTAATGCTTGAAGGTAAGTTAATGGGGTGTGGCACAACCTCTAAAAAGCTGTGGCCGCCATAGCTTTTTAGGGGTTGTGCCACACCTCACTAACTTGCCTCCAAATAGAATTTTATTGAGCAAAATACATACAGTTTGGTAGCGTGGATCTTTTAGTCTTCATAGAAGTAATTTGGGCCTGACATCTTCTTTGCTCTGAGTGAAAGCTGCTGAAACCGCAGCCATTGAGATAAGTGGGACAAACGGAATTTTGGCCTGCTTCTAATTCCATAGTTTGATGGTTGTTTGAGGCAGAATTCATAATACGGGTAAATAGGGAGTATTGCTCTGTATTGAGCACAAAAAGAGCTAGCTAATTCACTTTGCAACATAGTCAATCATGTTTGAAAATGATCACTTCACTTGGGTGGTCCAATATTGTGAATCCTCAGAATTTGCCAAAACTTGGCCCATGGTGGTTATTTGACATGATAATTACGAATATGTGCCTAATTATACGCGGTAAAGCCTTTATGTCATGCCTACGGAAGAGAAGGAGGAGGGGGGGGGGGATATTGACACAGAAGATAGGTGAAGGGGGATTGTATCCGGCGCTTGTGTGCCACACCTTTTGCTCGACCTTGGTTATGTAGCCTTCAACGGTAAGTTTGAGCAATTTGTACTTCGTCAGTTTTGATTTGAACCAAATACTATTAACATCAGAATTGTATGATATGTTGAAAAATCACGTAGAGAGGCAAATTTCTGATGTTGCGTATCCGTCCACCTTCTCACTGTTGATTTTGCATGATCTATTCCTATCCCAGACACTCTCGCCGGCCGGTGACTAAAAAATCATACCGGCCGGCGACCGTCCCAGAAGATCATGGCTGCCGGCGGCCACTCCATTGTGCTGGCTATTGCGCGGCCGGCGGCCGCTTCTAGAGTTCAAGAGTGCGCGGTGTACGGGCGTACGTGACGCACGCAGTATACGCTCGGTATATTTCATCATAGGAGCGTACGCCGCGTATACCGCGCTGGCCCAAACCACAGTGCTGGCTAATATATTGGCAACATGCCAACGTGCTTGCAGTTGCATTAACACGTGCTGCACATCTGGCTTGTTGCATGTTGCCAACATGTTGACCACCACGGTCTCAGGTCAGACGCTCATTTTGCATTCTCATTTCTTATCTCGCTTCTCTCGCTGATTGACGTCGTTAATCTTCGTAGCCCTTGGTCTTGCCTCATGCAATTTCAATTGGGGTCATGCTGTGGCCATGCTCAACTGTTCATAACATTATGCGCGCAGTTTAAATGTGCAGAAGAGAACTATTTTATCGATTTGCGGAAGTTTTACGGATTTTGCATTTGTGGTTTGCCATTGGATATGAAGGCAGCTAGCAAGTAGCCAGATCGTTGGTCACTGAAATCGCGTGAAGTATGGCCAGCGCCTTACCAGGGAAGTCTGCAGAATCGAAATGGCCGATTGATATGTGGTATAGATTTGGACTGGGGGCTGGGAAGGCTATGTTGTATTTTGTGTATTCTATTCAGCCACTGCAGAAAAAATCTTGTATTATGCAATGTTCATAAACAGGGTTGAGCAAGAGGTCAGGCACAAGTCCCTCAAAAACGACCCTCCCCCTGTAAAAGCCCCTAAACGACCCTCCTCTTCACCTCCAAGTTCTCAGGGTATTATACTTTGAAAAGGACCAGCCTTCACTGCAGGTTTCCATTTTTTGAAAGTCTGTAGGCCCGACTTTCTGTGATTGCACAACCACACGTAACTTGACGGCAAGTTTTGGATCTGGATAGTCCTCTTTTCAGAGCTATAATTTTCACAGAAGTGGAGTGCTTGGCTTCAAATTTTCAATATAGCAAGAAGAGGCTTTGTGCTCAATACTCGTATCAAAAAAGGGGCGATTTTTGAATTTTGGAGGCAAGTTAAGAGGGTCAGGCGCAACCCCTCAAAAGCTCAGGCGGCCTAACCTTTTGAGGGGTTGCGCCTGACCCCGTTAACTTAATTTCCGAAAATGCTTTTCCACCCAAGTTTTATGCGATTCGCTAGCTCAACCCTCGAAGATTCCACAGTGAGTGTTTGAGCTTGATTCGAGTTGTTTCGGCCTTGTGCTAATCCGAGGATTTGAAGCACCCAACTTGAAAAAAGCGCCGGTTAGAATTTTGGCAGCACTTTTTACTTCACTGTTTCAAAGCGATATGAAGCCTAATTTGTAGCGTAGACTTGTAGAGAACATTACTTTGTTATGAGTATACAAAAACTGACTTTTCTCACTTCTGAAACCAAGTTGATCACGTTTGAAAATCACGCTTTTTAGACGTTGCGAAACACTAGAAACTGCATTAGGTAATGGTTTATAGAGCGCATAGAGGTAATTTGACATGCTGATTATGGAAATGATACCCATTTCACACAGCAAACTCCCTTGTCGACCCCATATGTCAAGGTAAAAGAGATGAAGATTTGAATTTTGGCTGAAACTTCCATTGTGGAAACAATCAGTATGCTGTTTATGACCGTCAGTCCTTCATGTGATCGCGATATCCACCGGACTAGCGCATTTCTTCTTCACCTTCGCAGTATCTCCTCAACTAACAAATTCGATTCTTAATTACGACCCCCCCTCAGTCTTACCCTCAATACGATCCCCCAGGTCGGGCGCGCCTGACCCCATGCTCAACCCTGTTCATAAATTATGACTGCTCATCACTCTTCTCCTTTCTGTTCCTGCAGCCTCGGCGGGTTACATACCTGATGACGACGATCGCCCCATCAACATGGTAAGCATTTCCTAAAAAAATAGTCAGCCAAAATACTATTTTCAGAAAGTACAATGTGAGACGAGCTTCGCATTGCAAGCAACCATCAGAGATCCGATCGGATAACTGATCAGCGCCATATCCCCCGCTGTCTACCTGATACTGTTTTTGGTTGGCACAAATATAAATTTTTTCAATCAATTTATTTTTCATTTACACTTCAGGTGCTTAATAGACTCGGATTCGCACTTCCAGCGCAGCCAGCAGTACGCCCAGCACAGGAGTCGTCGGCGCAGGAGCCGCGTCAGCCGCTCATCGCTACCCCCCACCAGCCACCGCCCCCGGTGGTGGCTGGCTCCGCGGGCGCTGCGATCCCGCTCCCAGCGCCCACGGCGTACCCTAGTTAACCTCTGGGTGTGCATCTGCACACCCCCTGAGGTTAACCTAGGGAATCCCTGGGCAATCTTACCCCCCCCCCCCCAATTCTACAACAAGCAACCACCCTACTCGTAAATCGTCTGCTAATTTTTCTGTTGATCTCCTTGAATCGTCTAATCTCAGCGATCTTTTTTTCTCTCTCACTCATGAATTTTCTCTTTGTAGCCACTCATAGTTCGTGTTGAAACATTTGAAGTTCAGTTATGTTGTTTTGTTGAGTACTTTTTTTTAGAAGTTGAAGTGTCTAAATAA